GAGCAAAAAAAAAAAAAATCCATGCTTAATTTTCGTGATATCCACCCACACAGATAGGCAAAAAAATCCTCACATAATAACCCTAATTTTGCAGTGGCCCTTTTGATAATCTTTTAAAATTGTCAAGCAGGTCCCAAGTTTGGATCACTAATATAGAAAATGTACATATCTAAGTAATAAAACTTAGTAATAAACCTAATGTCTTAAGTAAATTTATGATTTTGTGCTAAGCTGCATTCATAGCCACCCTGGGCAGCATGCAGCCTGCTAGCAGCGGGTCGGACACCCCTGGTCTAATACACAGAACTAAAACAAATTACAGTCTAAAAGGATGGGGGCTAGACTTCATTGTCAAGTTGCTTCTACTGGCAGATGTTTCAGAGGTTCTTCAATGGGAAATGAAACAGGAAATGATGGAGCTGGTACTCTAACTGGTAAGAAAACCTAAGACTCATACTATAGATTCCAATGTGTGGGTCAGAAACCCCTGCGGTGGGACTCTGCTGAACCAGAAGATGGCAACATCCCAGGCAGAAGACAGATGTCTGCCGAAGTTTAAGGCAGAAGAAGATGTAATAATTGAGCTAAGCAATGTATTAAATTTTCATTGATCTGTTTCTCTCACTTGAGAGTGGAAAGATGTGCATAGGGAAGATCACAGACAAGGAACAACATGTTTTTAATTGTGGGAAGTACATTTTAACTTGTATGAGCTCCAGACTGTGTTTTTGCAGACCTTCTAAAACAGAGCCATAACTTTGAAACTGTGTTTCTGCCAACAAACATTTTTTAATGGTTCAAAGATATATTCTCAGGATATGATTTCCTATTTGGAATAGTTGTTTCCCAAGTGCAATATTGAGAATACTTGAGACAGAACAATTGCTAAAAAAAAAAAAAAAAGGAAAATTGGTAAAAGTATTTAAGGAGAAACTTTTTTTTTTAATGTGTTCTAAAGATGGATAAAAGTCTACTCTATTAGCCAGGTGAAAAATATGTAAACTTGGGGGCTGCATCTGAAAAGTTGTAACATATTTTTCATCATTTTCAGTATGCTCCGTAGTCCCCAAATACATGGAATTGAAATAGCCTTGAGACAATTTAACTGAAAAATGTGCTCAGATGTAATTTTGTCGAAGTGCTAGATGACTTCAGTGACTAGAAACCAAATGAAATAAAGGAAAAAAGACTGGTTTCTTTGAGGTTAGAAACTGTCAAATGTACCCTGCTGGGAGAAATGGTCCTCCATGGGACTCTCTCTCACCTATGCATCTTGCTGAGTCTGCCAAGAATGCATCTAACCATTTCTCAGGTTGTGTTTGTAGTAAAAAACCTTGAGGGATAAGGCAATGTCTACCTTGAGACACAAAGTAAGTTTGCTTACTTCTAGCTTGAAAATAGGACATTCCCCAAACTTGGGTTCCTCTCCTACACCACAATTCACTGCCTATGCAGGCATCTAGCTAAGCCCTCAGCAAAACTCACCATCCCCACCACAGTGGGACTAGGGAGCAAGGAGGGAACCACCATAACATGCTCTCTGAGGCTACACTAAAGATGAGGAGCTTGTGTATGAGTATGATAGTGTTTACACAGGAACCCTCTCCCCATCCCCACCTGCGGTTCCTTCAACAGACTAGTAGAAAAAGGAAGCAGTGTATGCAGCTCCTGAATGACAAAGGAAAATGAAAAGTGACAGATAAAGGGGGAGTCCAAGGTGACCTGACCTCCTCTTCCCAGGAAACTGTAACCTTCTCAGAAGTGACAAGGAAAATGGCCTGGAGCAAATCCAATGTGTCCCTCAGCAGTCGTGTTCCCCTGTCTGAAGAAGATGTTTATTGGTATATAAAATAACAGCCTCTAGTGCCACTAGCCCCCAAGCGGAGAGTTAGTATGAAGCAGTTATATTTTCTGGAAGGCATGGATGGGGCTATTGGTGGCAAACACCAGGCAGTTCAAAATAAATTACTGGTCCAAGCCCCCGACCAATGGAAAAGGAAGCCCAGTGCTTTGTTGACTTGTTTGGATTTAGGCAAACTATATTCCACACACAGGGGTCTATCTTACGGAGCCCAATCCACCAAGCAACCAGCAGGCAAATGATTTGTGCTCATCTCTGGGAAGACCAACCATGTGGTTACAGTCGAATGAAAACTGGTCAACCATGGGGTACTTTATGTAAAAGTTTGGATATCTGCACTCAAGCTCTCAGTGGTTTGTTAACTTGCTAATTTAAATTCTCTGAGATTGTTTTATATGAGTTTGAAAACTTCTTGGGATAGTCTAAAAACCATCTGCAACTTATTTATAAAGGTACTCGGGGATTTCTAAATTGAATGTGATGCAAAACCGCAAATGAAATAGATTAGAAACAAACGTACAATGCCTTGTGTGAACCAGACAATGTTAGAAACCATAGAAATTTTTCCATATCAACTTTTGGGGTAGTTTTTAAAAATCTATAGTAATCATGGATACTATCTGAACTGTGTTTGGGGACATTTTTAATTGGTTTTGGAAAATTAGGCTAATAAAATACTGAGTTAGCGAATATTTCTATTTAGTTAAAGATCATATATGGGATTTTGCTTACATGAAATTCTGAGATAGTACCTGATGTTCCCCCAGAGGGAAGCTAGAAATTTTTTCTTTTTAGGCCCCTGGTGTGCTAGTGAAATTGACGCGGGAGTAGTGTGGACTTGCATGTTCAGGAACCAACTCCAGATGTTTAAGCAGAAGGTAATAAACACATGTATTAATGGGGAAATATATAGCATGGCACATTAAAATCTGTTATGGGGGAAAACTAATGTTTTCCTGTAAGAACAAGATAAAAGGAAATCTAATTAAATCACAATTTAATATATAAACACGAAATTTTCATCCACTCCATCATAAAAGAAATTCTTTTCTATCCAAGGGTCCATATAAAACAATGAATTATATCCCTAGCACCCTGTCCTGGTATCTAGTATTATTCTCACACTTCTGAGAGGATTTATTTTAATTCCCAATTCTCCGTAGGGACACATATCTGCCTTACCCTTTTGACTGAGGTGTGCCCCCAGGCTCTCTCTTCTCGGTGACCAGACTATGGTGAAAGCCCTTTTGACATTAAATTTGTGACCAAATCTACCTTCCGTGAGGATTAAATGAATTTATATATATTTTAAGAAAGCTGTTCCGGGGTTTCATGGAGTCCTTCGTAGATTCTCGTTTCATGGACTCAGATGTTGTTCGAGTTTGTTTTCTTCCAGTACATGTTTTAAGCATAGCCTGAATCTCGTGTTAGAACTGTATTACTTTTATGGGGAAGAGGAAGGGGTAACAAAGGCAGGTCGAAGAGAAAATGTTTATGCTCCAAGCAAAAGCAGCCTGTCCACCTCGTGTAAATCCACTGAGACCTCCCTAGCACTAGGAAACAAATACCATGCTTTAGACCCGGACTACCATCTTTACTTAGGGAGCTTCCCATTAGAAAAATGTTTGACTTCTTCCACACATGGATACACTTGGTGAGAAAGCAGGGAACGAGGATTACCTTCTTTGAAAAATAAAGAAAATAATAATAATAAATTAATTTCTAAGTACTATACATCTGGAATATCAAGAAATAAGTAGCTGAGAATCAGAAGAGTCTGCGAATATCAAAAGAATAAAAAGTCCAGAAAACACAAACATAAAAGAAACTGGGGGTTGGGGGGGCGAGTCTAAGTTAAAGCAAAAAAAAGTGCTATAAGGGTTTTTTTAAAATTATAAAGTACTTTAAAGACAAAGTACTTAAGGGCAGATGAAGAACCTCCTATAAATAATCATCAGAATCTGAATAATAAACTGAAATAGTTCCCTTGGTACACTGTAAAGTATGCAATTTTAATTATGTGATTTTTCTAGCTAATTTCTGCTTCAAAAACAGTAAAGTGCTTCTGCTTACAAGGTGGCAGAGACAAGAACTTTTCTGAACCTCTCACATACTCATTGTCATCAAAATTTAAATTAGCAGAAACATGCCTTAGAGTTCAATCACAATTAGCCCTTAGACCAGCACTTTCCAACTGGTGTGCTGCTGGAGCTTTTAAAACATGAGACACCCAACTCAGGTTTTAAGGCACTGACCTCTTCTCCCTTGGACTGTCAAGTAAAAAAATGAGAACAACCAATATAACAATAGCCATCGGGTGTGAATGAATCAAAACTATACCTATACTTTTGTCAGATCAGCAAAAAAGAAAATTTTTTTTGGTGTGCTGCAGAATTTTAGTAATTAGTTTATGTGTGCCATGAGACGAAAAAGGTTGAAAATTGCTGCCTTTGACCTATTTGCTGGGAACCTACGATGTGCCCAGCACTGGCGGCACACGCAACACAACAGTGTGCATCTGTGAAGCACTCTTCCTTTTCAGCTTCTAAAACATACATTTTACAAACTATATGTGTTTTTCAGCATCTACTGCATGTGCTGAAGACATGTATTATTTATAAATTGGTCCACTCAGGAAAGTTTTAGCCCTTAAAAGACAAAATGTATCCAGTTGTACTTGTGTATATAAAATTTACATAGTTATGTATGGAAGTCAATCAACAATGATAAATACAAACAGATTGTCTGACAAAATAAACCAACTATTTTCAGGGAACAGAAATGGAACATTTGTCAGAATATGTCTACAAATAATTAATCACTTTAGCACAATAAAGATATTTTCTTATTACTAGAATGTCTTATAAGAGCATACTCATTACTTTCTAACCATCTGTCATCACTCCTCCCCAAAAAGCTAATTAGGGTTTCATCCAATCACACATTATAAATCATGCAAATGTGGGTGGCAAAAAATGCAGTTTAAAGAAGTTAATATTATTTTGTATTTTAAAAATCACAAGTTTCAAAACTAGCCTTTCATGATCTAATAATTACCCTGCTTATTTTTTTCATCCTTTCCCAGTTACTATTCCATAGTAAATTCAGGAAATTAAAATTTAAAAAAGAACAAACTTACAGGTAGTAGAGTTTTCCTGCAGCAGGAAGTTCCCTCTTCCGGTAATCTATCCCAGAGTCTAACTGGACCGTATCACAGTACTCCTACAAATCAAACACATGAAATATCTTTTTAAACAAGTTATGGCTTAGAATTATAATCATTCTGCTATCCTATCTTTTTTTATTTTTGACATTTTTCTCAACAAAATAATGAGTTTAGGACAAAGCAATAGAACTCAAATAAGAATCATAAAACTTGAATATTAAATATATAGCAAGCCAAAAAAATCAGTTTAAATTAAGATTTGCAGCATGCCTTCCTGAAAGCTTGCTAATAAAACAATGCTGTCAGCACATTCCCCATTTTTATGTTCAAGTCACACTGTTTATTTCTTTACATTGTTTTAAAAATTTATTGTATTTTTTCCATTGCCATTTGTCCTCCTTATACTCCCCTTCCCACTGCAATCATCACACTGTTATCCATGTCCATGATTCCTTTTACTATTTTGCTCACTCCCTCCACCTGTAACACCACCCCTAGAGCTCTCAGCCTGCTCTCTATGAGTCTCTCTATTTTGCTTGTTCATTCAGTTTGCTTATTAGATTCCATATTTGAATGAAATCATATGGTATTTGTCTTTCTCTGACTGGCTTTTTTCACTTAGCATAATGTTCTCCAGATCCACCCACACTGTCGTTTTTGTAAAAATCCCAATTTCTATTACCTGGCAGTAAGAAGCTAGAAACTATCAAAAAGAATAACTCATGGGTCTTAATCATCACAATAGCAAGACACAGGTTAAGCCAGTTGGGCCAGAACATTAGTACCCACATTTTAAACCAGATGATCATACTCAAGGGCTGCAATATGTACAACATCTGTCCAGAAGGTATGCAGCCATGTAATATGAAAAGTAGAGACATTTATTGAAGAAGATACAAGATATAAGAAACATTGTATATTGAACAGTGATGCCTCAGTCCCCTTCGAAGTAGGCATCTTGGGACCTCACACAGCTCTCCCAGTCGCCATCAGCTGCCCTGTCGCATTTTCCTGAATCTCATTGATGGTATGAAATCTCTTCCCTTTCAAAGGTGATTTTAGTTTTGGGAAAAGCCAGAAGTTGCAGGGCACCAAATGTGGGCTGTAGGGACCTGAGTCACCTGGGTGATTTGATGTTTCACAAAAAAACTCTGCACAAGAGGACACATTGTCGTGATAAAGCTGCCAACCACCAGTTGCCCATAGCTGCAGCCTTCTGAATCATCCAAACAGTTTCCAGTAGAGGAATGTTCAAGCTTAATGCAAAATTTGATGCAGACTTGTTGCTCTTCTCCCTCAGTCATTTTGAATGTGATGGCCACACAGTACACATGCTCACTCATCAGTATCTACTGCCCCCACTGACTAGTACAGTGAAGGCATCAACATTCACGTATGCACGTTCCAGTCCACTCTCTGGCTGCCAGGTTACATTGACGTGGTACAAACTGTTCTCATTATATTAACAATGGCTGTACTTTTTGCAGACAAACCTTTTGTACTTCCCTTCACTTCTAAATGACTGCTACTGTCCTTGTCCTTTAGTTCCCCCTCCAGCCATCAAAGTCATCAGAGTTCTTTCTGCAGTGAACACCTCCCTACAACCCGAGTCATCCTGTGCCACTGATGTTCTTCTCTCCTCCCCATTACTCCTTCCTTTCCAGGCTTCCCTCCCCAGGGTGCTTATGTGCATGGACATACCACACACATCTTCTAAGACTGTTACTACAACTTTTGGTCAGTTGACTTTATTTTGGGGGTATATATATCAGATAGACAGAGAGATAGACATAGATAAATTCAGTCCAGTAAAACAATGGTGAGCAAGGGTTTTGAGGACAATTCAAGAAACATTTACAGGCTGATCTTTTTGTCTTCATTCAAAATGAAAATTGCTTTATGAATATTCATGAGGAAAAATTGTATTTTAATAACTTCACTACTTTTATTAATGAAAAACTGCATTTTAGAGCCAAGGTAATTGTGGTGAATTGCAAATGATGACTGCAATAACCTCTCCATCCCAATACGTGCCACTGACATTCCAGCCATTGAGAAATTATGTCTGTGCCCCTCTCCCTTGTATCCTGTGCTGTGGTAAAAATAGTGTTATACAATAATATCCGAGGTGACATTCAAGGCTGGATGGATGTCACCTACTTGTTGGCTGGATGCTTGCTCTGGAACCCTGAAATGTCAGGTAAATATCAAACTGCCTGGAGGCAAACACGCCATGAGAGAGCTTCAAGCAGCACGTGCAGAAAGTTGCCCTGGAGAGGCCCTGAGATGACATGCACAGAGAGGTGTCTGACCAGTCCCCAGCTGTTATAGTTGTAGCCATCATGGTACTGATGGAGCCAAAACTACCGGCTAAGTGTTTCTCAAATCCCTGACCCACATAAACTGGGGAAGATGATAAAGTAACATTTCTTAAGCCTCTAAATTTTGTGATCATTTGTTAGGTAGCAATAGATCATCAGAACTATCTCGGCACACCTGAGATACAGCACCATCATTTCTCCCTGAAATTGCCTCCTGGGTTGTATGGCTATGCTAGGGCTGAGTGGATATTTATCACCCGTGCTATGGGGAACAGACTGTACACAGCAGCAATGACTGCATTTCCCCTCCTCCCGCACTGCAGCTGCTACCGGCTCAGGGAAGTAAAATAAAGTGATCAACCATGCCCCTGGGATCGAGGGGTTTCCCCCAGACTGAGGGGTTTTCTGGATGTAGGACTTTTAGTGCTAACACCAGCACAGTTCGGGAAAACTGGGACAGTTCATCACCCTAGAAGTGAAGACCCAGAAATCTTGGCTGGAAGTCTGGAGTAGGTACAGCATTCAGACTTACATAGTTGACCCTTGAACAACAAGGGTGTTAGGGATGTCAATCCCTGCACAGACGAAAATCCACATGTAACTTTTGACTCCCCAGAATCTTAACTACTAATAACCTACCATTGGCTGCAAGACTTACACATAACATAACAGTCAGTAAGCACATATTTTGTATGTTATTTGTTACATGCTGTATTTTTACAATTAAGTACGCTAGAAAAAATATTATTAAGAAAATACATTTATAATACTTATTGAATAAAATCCACTTAAAAGAGGACCCAGTTGAAACCCGTCTTGTTCAAGGGTCAACTGTATATTAGCAATTGTGAATTTGATTAGTATAAAATAATCTCCAAGAAGAAGCTGGTCTTCTGGGAAAGCCTCCAAAGCCGAGCTTTTGAACTTCATACGTGAAGAACCACCACTGTACCTCAGTCATGCCCCCTACAATGCTTGACCTGAGCAGCCAGCCGGCCTCCCCGTACACACCGCCCTAGCTCACTGTTCTAAGTTGCTCAAACCCACTCCCCAGGCCTCACTCTTAGGACTCGGACCCTGTAATTCATCTCATCAAAATAAAAAACAAAAACACTTTTGCCCACATAGATGCATTCCACTCTCCCCTTGCCTCAGAGGATCTGTAGAAAGTAAAAAGGTATAGCCATATATCTCTCTTCTCAATCTTGAGTAAAGTACTAAACCTGGGGAAAAAACATACTTCCTCCCCCTTGCCCATGCTATAATTGTGGGTGCTCAGCCATCCCGTACAAAGAAAGGAGAGGCACCTCCTTAAGTAGCACTTTGTTCTCTCTCTCTCTTTCTCTCTCTCTCTCTGAGGGAAATCTGGAAATCTGTCCTGGTTGGTAAAGGCCAATTATTCATAAGCTACCTGTACCACAGATAATATAATAAACATATTATCTTATGTTTATATTATAATTTAAAAAGTGTAGCAATTTGGTTATACATTTCCCCAGGTTCTCTATTTCTTTTAAACCACAATTTATCTTATATGACTCAATATTCCTAATTCAGTCAAAAATGTTTCTTTTTTTTTGCAATTAAAACAATAAGGTTAATGGAAGTTATACAAGCTTCAATTTCACTTTCTGGGTAACTTACTTTCCTCTCACATGAGTGATTAAGCCCTGCCAAATGATTGCATTTGTACATTCACTAATCACCACCAAGGAATACCTAATCAGCAGCAAAGGAACTATAACCAAAGCCCTTAGATGTTAGCTCTTAATTGTCTGAAAAATACTAACACTCAGTTTATATTTTTAAAGAAAAATAAACCTCTAATTTTCACATTTTATTCCTTTAAGCTAGATTCTTCAAAACACTTCACAGACGGGTGCAGGAGAATGAAGGCTAAGTTATTTCCAAGCTGAGAATGAATCTAGTTAAAGAGGTATGGTCTCTAAGTAATTTCCTAATTTGAGGGATATTACAAGACCTGTGACCTCTTATCATCATCCAATTCAAATGCGTAAAACTAATCAGCCACCAAAGAAAATGTATTTTTAAATAGTTTATTTATGTATACAAAAGACAAATACAATTACATAGTCCAAAAATGAGATTAGGAAGTTTGGGGAAGAGGGGGAGAGAGGTTAGCACACCCCTGGGAGCATACTCAAGAGTCAAAGGCCTTTGACTTTGGAAAGAAAAATGTACTGCGAAAAGAACCACATTCCAGCAGTTTGCATTTTCCCTAAGACCTATTGTGTATATTTTTAGCAATTCTGAATAATATTATGAGGGCGACAACAATGATGTTGATGACAAAGATAGAAATAGAAAGAAATGAAGATGAAATAGAAAGAAACAGAAGAAAAGATAAATTGGGATGTTATATGCATAGTTCTAGGCTTAATTTTTTTTGATATCTTAGAAGTTTTATATGTAAAATAACTTTAGATTTAAATACAGGAAATATATGCTGTATACTGTACCATTTTGCTTGCTAAGAATACAATTCCATATGTAAATGGCAAGTAAGAATACAAGAAATATACTGAACAAAAAAATGTGGAAGGCTGGGTGGAGGTGTCTTTCTTTGGAGGCAGATATAGTTGCAGGTAAACATACTCAAGCAGCTATATATTCTAAGGTAACTGTTTTAGCCTCATTTAACACAACCATGTGCTACTAATTTTAAGCTTAAACAATGATATATAAAAATTCAATACATACACTTCTGTATATTT